GATAATGATCACTATATATTTCCGGCCCTCTTTGTACTTTTACATCTACAATCCTTCTCATATTACTTCTCTGTACCAATATATAATCTATAATAGATTTTTCCCCTCTACTACGTTCTTCTCTGGTATATTTATGTATATCCTTATGTTTAAAATATGTGTTAGTAATTACAAGATTATGCATTAAACAGAAATCCAACAATCTTATACCGTTATTATTTCTTACATTTTCCCCCTGTTCTCCTACAATTGTTCTGTATATGTGATCTCCTTTCCCTACTCTGCTATTAAAGTCGCCGGCAATATATATTTCACCCTTTGCTTCTTCTGTTACTTTTGTTAATTTCTCCCAAAATTGATCCTTACATTCAGCTTTGTCGTCTTCATTTGGACCATAAACCACTATAACCGTTTTTTGATGGCTTCCCTCGTCTTTCAACCTGACCTAACAAAAGGTTCAAGAAAATTTCAACTTTATATATATATATATATATATATGTAGTGGTTGTCTTTTATAATTTTTTATAATTTGTGTTATTGTTAACCGTTTTTTTTACTTTTGTACTTTATTGATGTGATTTTGTTAATGCATCTATTTCTATTAGCCATTTCTCCCACCTATTAATTGGTTTTAATTGTCAGGTGGTGTAACTTGAACAAAATAAAATAAAATAAAATAATAAATAGAACACCCAAGGATTTAAAATCCTTGAGAACACCCCCGAAAACCCGAGGGCCCAAAAACAAATGGTAGCCGAGTTAATTTCAAATTTTTTTTTATATGAACATGGGTCCGAATCGTTTTTGTTTAGAAGTTACAAACATTTTAAAAAACATAATTTCTTATTTCAAAGTAGCTTGATAAATAAAAATGATAGTTGCTGTAACAATAATTATTATTTGTGTTTAAACATTAGTTAACCTTTATTAACCAAATTAACAAATCTTAAGACTAAAGAAATTGCACAAATTGTCCACCTTCAGCTCGAATGCAAGCCTCACATTGGCAAACTAAAGATTTTGTCACTCGACATTTGAGATTTGGATCATTTCCTATCTGGTTAGCTGCATCCTGAATTCTGTCAAGTAACTTCTGACGGGTAGTGATTTCAACACAGAGTAGACAAGCTGGTTCATATAAATAAAAGTCCAAGGGATTTAGACCTGGAGAATGTGGTAGCCATGCTATTCGACTTTGTTAACCTTTCCATTTGTACTTGTCTCTCTCTATGTGGTAGTGCACCATCTTACTGATAACACATATTTCGAACAATATTAAGCCCTATGGCATCAATGAAATAAAAAATTTTGTTTTCCAAGAAACTTCTATGGAGATCTGCATTTAAACAATCATTTAAAACATGTACAGGCAGTAAATTATTGCTGAAAATGCTGCCCCAAATGTTGACACTGAAACGTTGCTACCTACCTACAGATATACCTACAGATTTTATAATGCCCAGATATGTTCATTATGATTACTACTTATGCCGTCTCTAGTAAAACATGTTTCATCAGACCACATAGCAAGCGAAATAAAATCTTGTGCATGTTGTCGAAGTAGCAAGCGACAAAATTCTAATCACTGAGGAGCATCTCCAGTATGTAATGATTGTACATTTTGGCGATGAAACAGATGTAACATTTCTCTATTCAAATTCGGTGATAAATGAAGATTACTTGGTATATGCCGAACACTAATTACAGAGTTGTCAATGACACCATCTATTAATCTTCTTCATTTTGTACATTCACTTTAGTAGGATAAATGGCATTTTCTGGAGTGGAGTTACCTTCTCGCAGTCTATGAAATGATGCACTCAAGACTATGTGTGCAGGTTGATGTCTATTTGGGTATCTTCGTCGGTATTCTCGGGCTGCTCGTCTGGTGTTCCCATTGGAATAACCATACACAATGACAATATTTGCATACTCTTCAGTTGTAAATAAATACATTTTTTATTTAGCACTTTAAGGCTAAGTGTCAAGACAAAATGTAACTTCTAAACAAAAACGAATTGGACCTATGTGCATATAAGAAAAATGTTTGAAATTAACTCAGCTACCATCTGTCACCTGTATAAGATTTTTGTTTAAATTTGTAAAATCAACCGCATGTATTATATGAATTTATATACAGGGTATCCCCAGTTCGGGCTGCCTATACCTGAAATGGATACAAAATTTCAATTATCAAAAAAAAATCATTCTTCATAAAAATTTTTGCTTGTCCAGAGGCCCTTGGAAAGATAGTCATTTGTTCAATTTAATGTACAGGGTGTTCAAAAATTTGGAAAAGGTAAAAACAGTAAAGAGTAAAGTACCTTAAATCTTAACGCTATGTGAAAAAGTAATGGGGAAAAGTTGCTTGGAATTAAATTTTGTTTAAATATGAAAGCATGGCCTTCCAGTTAATACTAGATATTCTGGGATATTCTAGGACTGTATTTATTTTTGAATATCTCCGGAGAAGCCATTCTACTTAAAAAATATTGCTTTATTGAAAAACAGATACACATGTTTGCATATTAATAATTTATTTTTTATACAGGGGGATCAAAAACCTCAAAAACATTAATCCAACATTTATTTTGACAACACAGAAGAATCTATATGTAAGCGCGATTACAAAACTATTCTACATGAAGTGCGCCAAGTTCAACACACCTCCAATCTTTTTCTAAATGCAGCGTAGGTTGAATGTATTGGGCAATAGCTTCAATTATCCTGCTTTTCAAGAAATCAACATTGTGTTGCACTGGTTCTCTGTACACTCTTTCTTTCAAGAAGCCCCAAAGGAAATAATCAAAATACCAATAATTTGTAGCCAAGCAATATTTGTATATTTTTTTAAATGTGTAATTGAACCGTTATATAAATTTCCTACTGAATTGAACAGATTTAGAAAATTATAATTTTATTTTAACTCTCCACTTCTTGCTTAATAAAATGACTTGGCTACTGTCCAAGCACTCAAAAAGAAATAAAAAATTTGCATCTTTTAAAATGAAAAGCAAGAAATATGGGATACTTTTCACTTTATATTGAAAAATTATAATCACTTCCATTAAGTCAGAAAAATGAGTTGTTTATTAAATTTGTCCATTCGTTTCCTTGGCTTACAGGCATCCGTGACAGTTATCAATGGGTGAACAATTTCCAGCCTGATTGCCACATCATTTGATTAGACTTCTGAATATTTCAAGACATATCTATTCTATTTTAATCATATCTCATTTGATGTCCCTGATATTAATTAATCCAAAACAAGTTAAAGGTTAACATTTAACTGAATAGAAATTTATAATAATAATCCATTTAGGATTATAAAAAAATATGCTGACAACAATAAACACTGGTTATTATTATTATTATTAATACATTTTACAACAAAACATAATTAGTTTTCTTATGTAAATATTTATCAAAACATCTAGTATGCGGCGCACAAATATGTTTGTATTAGTCATATATTACTTATAAGCGTAGCTAAAAAAAAAAAAGCTCACGCACTTCAAAACCTAACCACTTTTTCGTTTTATTCTAAAAAAAAAAGGTACCTNTCAATTATCCTGCTTTTCAAGAAATCAACATTGTGTTGCACTGGTTCTCTGTACACTCTTTCTTTCAAGAAGCCCCAAAGGAAATAATCAAAATACCAATAATTTGTAGCCAAGCAATATTTGTATATTTTTTTAAATGTGTAATTGAACCGTTATATAAATTTCCTACTGAATTGAACAGATTTAGAAAATTATAATTTTATTTTAACTCTCCACTTCTTGCTTAATAAAATGACTTGGCTACTGTCCAAGCACTCAAAAAGAAATAAAAAATTTGCATCTTTTAAAATGAAAAGCAAGAAATATGGGATACTTTTCACTTTATATTGAAAAATTATAATCACTTCCATTAAGTCAGAAAAATGAGTTGTTTATTAAATTTGTCCATTCGTTTCCTTGGCTTACAGGCATCCGTGACAGTTATCAATGGGTGAACAATTTCCAGCCTGATTGCCACATCATTTGATTAGACTTCTGAATATTTCAAGACATATCTATTCTATTTTAATCATATCTCATTTGATGTCCCTGATATTAATTAATCCAAAACAAGTTAAAGGTTAACATTTAACTGAATAGAAATTTATAATAATAATCCATTTAGGATTATAAAAAAATATGCTGACAACAATAAACACTTTGGTTATTATTATTATTATTAATACATTTTACAACAAAACATAATTAATTTTCTTATGTAAATATTTATCAAAACATCTAGTATGAATATAGAAAAAATCTAGACTGCTTATTGATGCTGTATAACATTAGTGATTTGAAATTCTTGACAGCAATTTAGTAAAGCAAACATTTTCAACCAATATAAATAGTGATGGGCATAATCGACTAATTTTGATAAACGAGTACTTCTAATAATCGAGTGATCACTCGAGATACGAGATATTGGTCGTTTTCATCCCAGCGGCGCACAAATATGTTTGTATTAGTCATATATTACTTATAAGCGTAGCTAAAAAAAAAAAAGCTCACGCACTTCAAAACCTAACCACTTTTTCGTTTTATTCTAAAAAAAAAGGTTACGCAATCAGTGACTATTTGCAGTATGCACTAACATTTTGGGGTGTAACCGTAGGGTAATAATCACTCGAGTGGTGGGAGTAAACATCTCGAGATATCTCGAGTGATCTCAATAATCGAGTACCACTCGATTTTTCACTCGAAATCTCCCATCACTAAATATAAAGTAAATGAAGTATTCTTTTGTTAACTTTTGAGTACCTTAAAAAAGTGAATGATTAGGTACCATCATTTGCATATTCATGATATATTGTTGCATGATCTAGATTTTTTCCAGTTAACAAATTTTATATTATAGAGATACAAGTAAATATATTATAAAACTTTTTTATATGATAATTAAAAATAGTTTGAATTGTTGCAGAAATATAAAAATTAATAAAAGTATAAAAAGTGGGTACATATAATTTACTTAGTATAATAAAGTATAAAGTAAAATAATTTAATATCAATAAACGTATTTAAAAAATATATAGGTCACGTACTATTTGCTTTTTCTTCGACTGGTGATTCACTTGTAGTATGTACAGAAACTGGGGGTAAATAATAGCTCTTAATTAAACTATGAAGACGAGAAATTTCGGGATCTTCCCGCTCTAAGCTTCTTAGCATTTGCGAAAATTTAATTATTCCTTCTCGTCCTTCTGCATACCCATATTCTCTAATTACATCCATCTGAATTTGCATAACTATTGGAAATAAAAATTGCATCATTTTAAGCATCTCATTTCCTACATTGTCTCTTGCTTCTTCCAATTTCTGAACATTAGCAGGTGTTTGTAATTCTTCCAATGTCTTATTTAATATTTCCATAGCAACTACAGGAGTCAAGTCGGTTTTAGACATATTTATATAAGTTTAACCTTAATATTACAACGTATACTTTCCTCCCTAAAAATATATATCACAAAACACAACATATATCTTATGTATTTATATTTATGAAAAAATTAAATATACAGGGCTTAATTAACCTTACTTTTATTCGAACAATCAAAAACAAAACACTCCTCAGCTGCTTTCGGGTGCAGAACATGAAGGGTTTTTTGGCGAGCCAAACCACATCAAACCCGGATAGCTCGAATTTAATTGTGTCAAGAGTTTGAGTTAACATTTGACAGAACTCGCAAAAATTCTTTTGGTTTGGATATCTAATCAATAATAAAATCGTAACCTATAATCTATAATAGTGCTCGTAGCTCAAGTTGTTTGATTATTTCTTATATACTATAGTTATTATTCCTAATTTGAAATGCACATCAATGAAAGAACGTTAATGTATGGATGGTTATTAAATCAAAATGGGTTTACCTTGTTCACAAATATTATCTATTCCAACGCAAATGTATCGTCTAAAAGGAAGTTAATAAAGATCTATACATTACAATATAGAAAATGCATATCTACCATCTTATAAACGATTAAAGTTATTTGGATCCTCGATTACTATTTTTTTATTATCAATTTTAAATATTACTTTGTATTTTTTGCAGTGAATCCATTACCAAATTTTTTTATTTACAACTTAACCTATCCAAACCTCTAAAAAAACGAAGTAGTGACTACTAGGTACGAAACAGAAAATACATAAACAAAGATAGAAATATTAACTTAAGATCCAAACCAACCCACAAGTCCGGTTTGATGGTTAGGCAAACTCTGCCAAACCGGGTTAACAACATTTCTCGCCAAAACGGCAAACCGCAACAAACTATAGTTAACCGGGTTAGCGGTTTTCTCGCCAAAAAACC